GGGCAGGCTGCTGTATCTTAAACATGCCTCCAGGGCCATTTCCGACCCCAGAGGAATAGAGCGGGTGCAAAGGTGGTTTACCATCACCGTGGTCCCCCCTTTCTCTAGGCTGCGAGCTATATGCTGTGCCTCCATGGGATGCAACTCAGTATCTCCCTTGAAGTCTCTACACTGAAAAAATTTTCATTCATTGACTTCAGTGGGAGTTCTGCCTGTATAGGGAATACCAGACAGAGCCTGAAAAGACCAACACTAGAAAGAAAAAAATCCCATCTTCCTAGCAAGAGGTGTTTTGATAGTAGCTGGTTGGTAAAGAGGTTTGAGGGTAAAAAAAGGAGGATAAAAGTTTAAGGTTCTGATTCTTATCCACACTAGTAATAGTATGATGCAAATCCTTATCACAATACTAGTTCCATTGCTTTAAATGGGTTCAGGATTGGGCCCGAAATGAGAAAAATGACAACATAGGTTTAACATGCTATTTTAGGAGATCTTTCTTGAAGGACTTGAAGATGACATCTTAGAAAAGGTCAAAAGCAGCATTCCAAGGATTTCTTTATATTGTCTACTTCCTATGCTTTGTGCAGTTATACCCATTGCTTCAGGACCCAATACATGTCTTTAGTTCTGACTTTTTGTAACTCAATGGATGTCTGATTAAAATATTTTTGCATTAATATTGTATAGATTCATGGAACTGAATCATTAATTAGAATCATAAGCACCTGTGTGCCATTTTAAAAATCATTATGCTATTTCACAAGTTATTTTTCTTCTTTTAAATATACAATTGCAGTAAATTAAATTATTTCTCTTAGGACAAAGTAACTGCTTGTGTGAAACTAATGCTACTGAAAAGTGACGGTTGAAACAGGCTCTCTTAACACTTCTAAATTTCAATCTCTGTAACAAGAAAATGAAAATAATACTATAGTAAACTTAAAGGGACCTGGTCAACTTAAAAATTCATCTGAAAATATTTGTCAATTGTAGTTTCAAACAATACTTAAGGTTATTATAACAAAGAGATCAGAGGAAAAATATTGTCCTTTCTATTTACTTTGTTCATTTGACTGTACTTAGAGAAACAGTAATACTAACTGCACACAATCTAGTCATTACTGCATCTTTCCTGTTTATGTGGGTCTTTCACACAAACACAGGAGAAAAAAACTGCACACAAAAACAGGAAAATGTGATTGTAAAACCACAAAAATTAGCAGGAGACCTCAGAAGCATGTGCAGTGAACAGACTTTAAACCTCTTCTTTTTTGAAATTGATTACTTCAGATTGACAGCATCCCTTTAACTGCAGAAGTTTCGACAGTTCTAGTGTTTCCCTCAACATTTATAAATTAAAAGATTTATGTCTGTTTCATGAAGGTTTTGAAGAAATAATTTATCTTCTAATAGGCAACAGTTTTTAAAGTAGTCGTTAAATATTTAATTACGTTTTTTTTCTAACATATTAACAGTAACATCTTATCCTAAGGCTGGAGTAGTCTTTGAAATATAGACTTTCTTGAGCATTTAAAATATTTCAGTGTTCACCTATTGTGCAAAGTATTAACAGGAAAGGGCAAGCTAAGTCACAACTGAGCCACACCTTAACCCAAATCACAAACTGAAAAAAACAAAACACCACAATGTTTTGATTCTGAACCAAGTGTTGCCTTCAATTTTTGCAACCCAATTTCCTCCCTAATTTCTAGTTTCAGTTGAAACTGGGAACCAGGAAGTAGGTTTTGTAGGAGAACATCATTTGCTGAGATTTCAAGGCATAAGAACTCAGTATGTGTTTAAGAAAACATCCCACAGTTTGTGTACATATCCAGTTCAACATTCCAAACCTTCTCTAATTCATCTTTCATTTACTATGCTTATTCCAGAACAGCTGTCCTTCCTTGGACAAAATTCCCATTGATTTCATAACTGGTGGTACTTCCAATCACATCTGTTAACCAACTATTATTGACTTTAATGGGAGCTTTGCCTAAATGAGGACTGCATTTTCCTAGACTACAAATATCCATATATGTTCAGTGGTTGAATTTTAAATGTCTCGACTGATTTGAAAGCATTTACTGGACTGAGAGATTTCTTATACATATACCGTAGAATACTGGCAGAACCAGTGATAACTTTCAGACTGGTCGAAACTTTTCAAATGCATCAAATTATGCCTCAAACCTAAAATTTGCCTCCCCTTTAGCAGAAAATCAATATTAAATATCAGAATCTATTTTCAATTACTCTATTGAAAAAAATGCAGGAAATTTAGCAATCCTACTAGGCCACCACAAAAGTGGGTGAAGTCACCCTGTTTGTATGTGGGGAACTGATGTGATGCTTCAGTTGAGACAAGAAGAAGTAAGATATGGGTGAAGAATGGAGGGAGAGAGAGAACAATGTTTACCCAAACTTTTAGCTAAGGAGCTTTACCTTGCCCTTCTCTTCAATGAAGGCTAGGTTCTTCATGAGCAGGGTGCAGGATACACTGTTCACAGTATATTTGATTACAAAAACATTTCTGGAACAAATGTTAATTGACAATGCAGTAGAATCCCCAATTTGAAGAACCTAAGATTTGCTACAAAATGAGATTTTTCATTTTTTTCTACTTGTCCCCACTGTCCCAGAGAGATGAGATGGTCTGTGGCTTCTGTTATTTTACAGCACAGAGCAGATGTACTTTCGACATACCAACTCCTTGTACAAAAGTTTGAGAATGTAAAAAAAAAAAAAAATACAGCTCTAGTAACCAATTATTTTTCAGGCTTCATTTTAACTGTGACTTGCTCTTGTAATTCTCTGAACTTCCAGGGAGGGGAAAAAACCTCCCCACCCCAATGACCCAAGCTGAAATGGGACACTCAGGCAACACCTGCTTCTTTAGGAGGTAAGTGATCACGATTTCAAGCCATCATCCGTGGGGACAACTTCCAGGATGATTTGCAATGTTTCAGTTACCCTGTCTGCAAAGAGAAAATTAAAGAAACTGGAGATATGTGGGACGCAATCAAAGAAGATTTTCCTAGAAGAGCTGTTCAACTCACCAATGATATGTGTTCATAAGTATTTAGATGTAACAGTCATAGCATCATAAAATGTCTCATTTAAAGAGCCCTACAACTGTGTTCCCTTTCTAACCACATTTTGCTCAGCTCTGTGCCAAAAAGGGACAATTACTAGCTATAGAAGGATTCTTATTTGTTGAAGAGACTTCTATTTAGACATTATCTCTAGAGAGTTAATTCTCTACATAGTTGTTCAGCTCAAAACAAACAAACAATGTTAATGTTGCAATAAAGGCCCAAATATGCTGAATGAGGCACCCATATTCTGTGTCAGAATCCGCTTGATCAAAATAAACTGTATTAAATATGTGCATGTAATGCCTCTGTACTGGTTTAAACATGTTACAAGTTAGAAACACTTTCATATTCTTCTTTGTGACCTTTGCTATTATTAAAGAGAAGAGTCAGGGATTAGTGGGATTTGTCCTTTGAGTGGTTTGCCTGTTTACACTGTTGATTCATATGTGGGCACCAATCATATAAATATTGAATACCTAGGAAAGATTCACTTCTTCTTCAAAGTTCATCTTAAACTAAAAGGCATCCTTGCCACTCGAGGGCCTAATTCTCCACTGCCCAGCACCTTGTGTAGTCATTTACACCAGTGGAAAGTGAGGGCAATATGGGGGGTAAAACACTACCATTCTGACTTGTTAGTGTTTTATACTCACCCTGCACTGGTAAATGACACAAGGTGCAAGACAATGTAGAATCTCTCTCTATATGGCTCTTCTTCTCTGCCCTTCTATTTGGGGGGCGGAGGTTAAATACAATATTTAAGGTGAGGAGTTTTTTCTGAAGAAATACTTTGCATTGTAGTCTGGATTATGGAAGTGAGAAACTGCAAGCACTGAAACACCCATGGTACTTGTGTGCTTTAAGCAGCAGTGGCTAGAGATACACCTCTACCTCGATATAACGCTGTCCTCGGGAGCCAAAAAATCTTACCGCGTTATAGGTGAAACCGCGTTATATTGAACTTTGCTTATTGAACCGGAGTGTGCAGCCCCGCCCGCCCGGAGCACTACTTTACCGCGTTATATCCGAATTAGTGTTATATCGGGTCGCGTTATATCGAGGTAGCGGTGTATTGGGCCTGATTCTCATTTACACTAAGACCCTCTTTATACCACTCTCGCACCACAAGTTATATTTGTATCCATTGTAAAGCCCTTTTTATGCTTCCAGGGCAGTTTAAAGACACTCAGCATAAATGAAAGTCAGACTCATTGGCATCTGGACCTCCTTCATAGGAGCTCAGAGTTGTTATCTATAACCACAGGGTAAAGGCTGGGAATGGAAAAGAAACCTCTCAGTAAAAGCAGTGATTTACTGGACATGTAGACAACAGGACAAGGGACCTGCTGCTGCTCTCTAGCATAAAGCGGAGATGAATTCTTGTGGAGCCCAGCCTCATTAACTCAACAAGGAGAGCGGCACTGAACATAACATGCTACACCTTGAATGGGCAAGTGGCACCCTCTGATGTCTGGAAATAGCAGTTAAAGAAATGGATGGATTTTATATGTACAGCATATCTCTACCCTGATATGGGCTCAGCCCTCAACATTCAGAGCCATTGCTGAATTTTAAACTCCTCAAAGGTTGGGGGATGCTCAGCCCATTATAAAGAGACAGGGCACTGGTAAACATGGATCCAGATTTAGGGCTGTGTAACAAACATCCCCAAATTCATGTGTTTTGGCTCAGGTCCACCTCTGATCTCTGTCACATTCTTTTCATTATTGATCTACTTTTGTAGGGTGCCCTTTTCTTGCATCTTTGGTATCAGGTTAATTCTGTAAAAGGTGAGAAAACAGCCAGGTGCAAATACGATTTGCCCAAGCACAATGGGTAAAACTATGTCTCACAGGCGTCTAATACTAGTGAAATATTAACTGCCTGGTGCAAGATTAAAAGCCATTTGGGAGTGAGTGAGAGAGAGGGTGAACTCGAACATCTCTCTGGCTACCTGCATTGGCCGGGCATATTAACTTCACAGTAAGTAAAGTTATTTTTATGAAATATGGTAACTTGATAAGTAAGATGAATGCTCATGTTGCAGTCTCTGTGGGAGATCAGCTAAATGCATTATTCAGACCTCAGAGAAGCATCCTAAATAGACTTATCCTGAAATAGTACATGTGAAAAATGCTCTTTGGTCTCTACAGTGCAGCAGTATCAACTCCTGCAAAGTAATATAATTTTTAAAAAATGACTCCAGGGATATTTCTCACTGCCTACTCTGAAACAAAGCTGTTTATTTAATGAGTGGGTTATCACCTCCTCCCCACCTCAAAACTGTCAGCATCAGTTTTCCCTAACTACTATTGTTACTCTAGGAATAACACAGGGAAACTGAACAAGCTGTTTCCCCCATATTGACAGGTGTCTGCTGCTTTCCCCTCTGAGCCAGCACTGTGTGTCTGTATGTGTTACACAGGCATCTGACTTGATTTCCTGCATGAGGATCCGGTGTTCTCCAAAGGGCTAGAAGAATCAGCCACACTGTCACAGCTAGTAGAAAAGGCTAAATGTATATCCAATCTCCCTTAAAGAGAATATTTTCCTTTCACCTGAGTAATGTAGTTCAACACTGGCATCCTGTGGCCACAGAGTTTCAAGTAACTATGTTGCAAATCCTCAGAGCTTCTTACCAGAAAATGCAAACAAATATTGTTGGTATATTAAGAAAATATGTTCTAGTTCCAAAACGTCAAGCCAGAGACATCATAAACTAATGTGGACATCTCCTACTCAGAATAGGGCTGGTTAATTGCTGCTGGGAGGCACAAACTCGCCTGGCATTGGCAGAAGTACATGCTGCATGCACACAAGGCTCTTGTGCTACTTTATTAGGACAAGCTCATTTTAAAGGTCCAGTAAAGCCCGGTGGTGTGGAGCTGGGGAGAGCCCTTGATTTTTTTATTTTAATAAACTGTAGTGGGAAAGCCAACTTCTATTGAAATCTCTAGCTTTCACAAAGTGTCTGCAGCATAAGGCAAACTTTTCACCCAGTTTTGTTTAACAAATTACCCACCATTTCTCAAATCTCTTAGGAGATCTTGCCTATATTTCTGTCTGCACTGTCTCATGATATAACTACACAAAAAAGGGCTGAGTAACAAAAATAAAAAGAAGTGGGACAGCTTTTTTTTTTATTAACTGTACTGTTTTTTCTCTCTAATCAAAAGAACTTCAGACAGCTCTTCTCTAACACATCAATAGTTTCACAAGTTTTTGAAAAAATTCCATAAATAGTATATAAACAATTTTCATCAATTAAATTCAGATGTAAAAAAAATTACCAGCTAATTTACTTCAGGAAAATATGTTGGAAGTCATTCACAGAAAAGATGTAAACAACCATTATGACAATATGTCAAATATAGAGCATTTTATCTCATAACTTTGCTTTTTAATAGCCATTAAGAATCACATCACCATCTAGGATCCATTTTAATGAAGGATTTGATTCCAACATGCCTTATTTGAAACAAAGTCCTACGGCAGCCCATAGGTGTTTGGTTTGAGTAGCGAGTGCAGAATCAGGCCTACGTTCAGGACAATGTTTTAGTTGTCAGAAGCTGTTGTTCTCTCAAGGAAACATTTAATCTATTAGAACAGGCAAAGGACTGTAGGAAGAAGGTCAGTAACTTAACTGGGATCAGATATCTGTGTAGCGGGTGCACAGGGGTTCAGTAATCTGAAATGTCTTGTTTAAAAAATGCTTGCTGTCTGATTGGTTTAAAGAATGAGTTTGCTGCAGACATGGCCATTTAATTAGCTGGAGTTTAGTTTAACTGGTGGAACAATGGTTACAGCATTTGAGTGAAAAGCAAGTGGCTCTGTTGTCCCTGGAACAAAGTGGTGACAAGAATTAAAAGGACTTTCCAGTTTGGGGATTATCACCATGTGTCTGACCCTTTAAGGGGAGTTGGGTCTCAGCCCGATCTGTGACATGCTTAACTTGCCACCCCAGGGGAAAATAGGTCATATGACTCAATCAGGCCTCTGGAATAGATAAGGGAGAAGCCTGGATAGTCAGATGCCAGAGGGGAGATGGAAAGAGAAGGGAGGCCTCCAGAAAAGAAGCAAATCATGGGAGTTGCTGCTTATTAGAGGGACTCAGAGGGAGACACGGGAAAGAGCTTGGGAAGAGCTGAAAGCTGAAGTGTGTCAAGTTGTATGAGTTATTAAAATTGGACCAGACCCTAAGAAAGAAGGGGCTGGGCACAGTTTGAAATTGGCAAGACGACTCTGGCTGTGTGTTTATGTTTGTATTTGTATAGCCTGGAAGGGGCGGCATTATTGTTAATTACTTAGCTGCAGGGCCAAATCACTGCAGCAGCTAAACTGGGCTGTGGAGTTTTTGAGAAGTATTAACAAGGGGGAACAGGGGCACGGTGATGAGGGCCACCCCATGCTATGAGAGAGTGTTTTGAAAATGGAAACCCCATTACAGGGATTGACTGAGAAGTTCAGAGAGAGAGAGAGGGAAGAGTCCCACATTAATGTGGACTTACCTAAGAGCCTTCTGAACCATCTTGGCTTCTTGTCCCATATGATAAAGAGGTAGTAGGCGGGGACACCAGTCAGGGTTATTGCAAAGCCTATTCCTGTATTGACAGGATCAGAGTAAAGTGACAGTGCAACCATGAAGAGGCAGGTGAAGGAAAACAAAGCTGGAATAAATAGCGGCACCTGAAACACAGGCCAAAAAAAAAAAGTTATTACTTTCCACTGACCTTGGTTATTGAATGACACTGGTATTTAATGTTCCATGAAATGTAAATTGGATAAAACACAGCAGCACACTATGGTTCTGCAGAAATACTGGTGTTTTGGAACATGCCTTTGAAATGTGAGTAACTAAAGAATATAAATTAAATACAGTGTTATGCAGTAAGTTCTACAGCAGTCTCTTAATTACACACTAAAACACCACAGCACTTTACATCCTTTAAAATGTAAGGGTTGTAAATATGCTAGATTACAGAAGTCCTTTCTCTAGTCCCCTATTAGACAAGCAGCACTAACTATAGTAAAGATTTCCTCTTTGATAATTACCTATTACACTCTATTTTAAAATAAAGCAAAGCGCTCAAGTCACCAGCTGCCTTTTAAAATCACTAAGTACATACTGATATCCATCCTAAGGTACAAAACAAAATGTGGCTGGAGGAGCACAAGTTAATTGTCATTTGACCACAGATAAAATATATTTGATAACATTAGGTAACTGACAGGTACTGAAGAAGTATTGTGCTTCTGACAGCATGACTGATTATCTTATCAGTGTCATTCTGAAAACAGAAAAAATAGCAATTAATTCTCTCAACTTTTGAGGGTGATGCTGTAAACTGTCTTTTCACCTCTTTGAAGGAGGTGCCTGATGGTGCTGCTAACTAGATAACTGGTGTAATGAAAAATTCTCAAGAAATGATCCTCTTGCCTTTAGACATTACCAATTCTCTATTGTACCCTGTCAAAGTGTTGTAAAAAAGAAATCACAGAGAAATGTGCTAAGCTGCTGCCCTTCATTTATATGCCTAAAAGAATGCAACAAAGCAAATTATTTTCTAAGTTAAGTTTCTTCCCCATATTTAAATATGGATAGATTTTTGCTACTCTTACTCATGCTAAGTACTATCTTGCTATACAAGTAACCTCACTGGGAATATTCACATAGTAAGGTACTACTTAACATAAATAAGGGTGGCAGAATCAAGGCCAAATAATTACTAGGCCAGATTTTGAGCAGTTTTTCTGGGTGCAACTTAGTGCTCAAAAATAACTGTGCCTGAAATTGTGGGCACAAATATCAGTCATTTAATATCTAATGACCTGTTTGTACCTGAAATTGGTGATTAATGCCAAATAAGGCTCTGCAGAGAGATTAGGAAAATAAAAATAAAAAAATACCCCCTTGATGTCTAACTACCAGTTTTTGTTCCTGACATTAATTCTGGTTGCAAAAATGCGGATGACGTTGTAGAGGCCAGATTGAGGCCAGCTGCAATGCCCCCCAAATACTGGCAGTTTGAAAGATACACAGTTGTGTACAATTAGGAGGCATCTTCACATAGTTTGTTAGATTACAGACCAGTCAGAACCTACTAGCTTACTTCCTCAAATGGTGTGAGTGTGAGCAAAATTGATCAAACACCTTCACTTTCACACATGAACCTAAATATATATATACACAACTGCTTCTCCCCAAACGCCATCAACAGTAAACAAGAAAGACTTCTCCTTCTCTGGAGAGAAACGTGGCTAGATAAATATTTTTGCTCTTCATCAGAGATCTTGTAGAGAAACAAGCTGGGAATTCTAAAGTTAAACATTTAAACTACAGTAAAAGAATCAGTTCTGTTAACATCGGTTGCCTGCAAGCAGTTAACATTTTACTCCAGAACATCTGTTCCCTTATCATCAGGCTGTGGACTAAGGGAGGGTTAAGTACAGGGAGAGAGACTTATGTAAAAACAGTCAGATTGCTGAAGTTACCTTGAAAGGACGAGGCATATCGGGACGTTTATATCTGAGATAAATCAGCCCAATAACTACCAGTCCAATAAAAAGCCACCTGGCAAAACTGAGGAAGTTCAGGAGGCTGTACAGATCCCCAGTGAAGAGCATTATCATTGTTAGAGGGTGCTGCAAAAGAAATTCAGAGCATAAGAGAGACTTAATGCACCAACTTGTTTTATTTATATCATCATCATGTATTTATAGTATGACTTTCGTCTCATAACCGATCACAAATTACACACATACTGCACCTCTGAAATGCAACCACCTCTGGAGTGGAGAACAGCAACTAATTGTCACACAGAAGGATGTACACAGCAGGGGAAGGGGAAATTTCGGTTAACGCCAGGACAAACCCCTACCCTTATGAGAAGTGCCCTGAGATCTTTAATGTCTACATAGAGCACACAGGAACTCAGGTTATGTATAAACTAGACTTTTGCACTTTGGCAGTCAATTAAACTTGCAGTTCCTAACATATTTGTAAAGACTAGTGTGGAAACTCCACACACATTTGTTCTGGACTACAAACTTTTTTTTAAATCAGAGGGATCAGCCTAGGTTAAAGAATAAACATTTATAGCCTGGATCAAATGGCTGGGGATTGTCCACACTTGCTTTTACAAGCATGTTAAGTATCACAATAACGTAAGGTAAAAATGTCTAGTGAAAACCAGCTCTCAGTTTTTATGGTCTAATTCAAAAGGCACAGCCAATTTGTACTTTTTGGAATGAAGGGCTAGGTCAACCTTGCTATAGGCTATGTGTTCACTGCCAAACAAAAAAAAGTGAAAAATCCTAGTGGAGACAGGCTGTGTAGTTTTTCCTGAGATGTAGCGAGGCAAGGTCAACCCTGGGTGGGAGGTGGGGGCATGCAGAGCTGGCCTTGCCTAGCTAAATTGTGATAAAAATTACCTCTACCTTGTCTCCACTAGGATTTTACAGTGAGATAATTAACTTGTGTTAGTTTTTTCCACTGAAAAACAAAACAACACTCATAGATTTTTGGCAATAAAGACTTATCTGGGATTTGGACAGGGAGTGTAAATATTTCAAAACACGGGGCTTACCCCACTGAGCACCCCCTTTGACTTCCAGTCCATTATGATTTCCACAGTGTCCCAAATGTGCTAGTTTGTTACAAATAAAAGATACAGGATAAAATCCTCACCCCATTGAAATCAATGGGAATTTGGCCTTTGACTTCAATGGGGCCAGGATTTCACCCATAGACCCTGCCCCCTTAAAATCTAACTTTAAGCATGATGCTGCAATGCAGGGCACCCAATGGTGGAGGAGAGAAATAGGGGTAAGACACAAAAAAGGCTACAAATAGGATCACATGGTTACTTAGGCTTGTTATATGCACATTTAGCCACAAATAAGCAGGCATGTAATAAGCAATATCTTCCTTTCTTCACTTTGCGTTCTGAGCGTTGAGCATTGAATGTGCTCTCTTTCCTCCTCTCCCACAAACAAGCTCAGCCCTCTGCATAACACACAACAGGAAAATGCAGAGACGCTAAGGGTCAGGGCAGAAAATATCTTCGTAACAACTGCACTTATATCTAAGATGGCATGAACAATAGGAAAGACTGCATAAAAGCCATCTTCATATAGAAGCATGCTGCTTCTAGACGGAAAAGTAGTGTGTGTAACTGCTACTAGCACACTAAAAGTGAACTCAGGAAAGCTGCACTGTGCCATGTGCTAAACAGAAATGTAAGTCACAAAAGATTCAATGAAATATAAAGCAAAACAAATGGAATATTGAAGGGTAAAACAAATACATTAAAACATTCTGCTCCCCCCCCCCCCATTAGGGAATCCAATTTTCAAACTTGGGCACCTAAATTTAGATGAACAAATTTAAAATTAAACATTTAGTGTATGGCTACACTGCAATTGGATGTGTGATTGCAGCACATGGAGACATACCTGAGCTAGCTTTAATCTCGCTAGCACAGGTACCAATAACAGTGGCAGCATGGGAGCCAGCATAATATGTACCCAGCCTCGCTAGTGGGCTTGTAATCAGGTAGCTAGCCCATCCTGCTGAGCTCCATTGCTATTAGCACTTGTGCTAGCTAGACTAAAGTTAGTTGGGTATGTCACCACATGCTATAACCACACCTGTGTCTCACTGCAGTGTAGACAGACCCTTAAACTGATATGTGCACGTCCAAAGTGAGTATATAGGCACCTATTGTAAGTGTTGATTTCGGTCCAAATCCTGCAATCTGATTGGATCAGCAGACTCCCTACACCAACATGGAGGCCCGCTCATGTCATTGGGACTGCACATGCATACAAGGGTCAAGCCATCTGAAGCAGGGCCATTGGTTCCTCAGTGCCTGATGCTGAGAGGTGCTGAATCCCCACAATCCCCACAGAAGATTGAGCCCTAAATGGAAATGTATTTACAGATATAACATTAGGCAACTGAGTTTGAAAATTAGGGCCTGAGTTACTGCTCTTCTTTTTTCCTAATGCTTTACTGTATAAATTAGTCTTCAATATGAACACAGAGCCAACGTTTAGCTGTGAGTCTGTCTTAGGAATTGGTAACTGGCCCATCACTATACTACCTTGTGCTTTTCTGTTCTTCTCATAGCCCTTTCACAATTGTTTCTGTTACCCATCTTTTCAGACACGTTCTCACAAAGATTAAAAAGCAATCACTGCACTACTCAGGGCTCCCCTCTCCTACATTACCTTTGTGTATCACTGTTTGCATTTTTCACATTAGGGTGCTCTCAGACACTACTGTTTAGCTACACTTCCAATTAAGTGAATTTGAGTTTTATTTCTCTACTTCCTTTTCTATGAGAATTCATGTCACTGAAAGGAGCCCAAATAATCACTTTCTTTCAACCTTCCAAATCCTTAGAAATAAAGTGTAATGAGACAGGATTTAGGCAGCAGCCTCCGAGAGTTAAGTGCTACCATCAGAAACACAGAGAAGGACGCACTAGAATAGATCACTTCAGTGCCTACATGCCTCTGCCCCTCACCAAACCCCAAAATATAAATAAATAAATAAATAAATAAATAAATGACTCCAGCAGTGCCCAAGTTCTGCTTGAATCCTCCCGTGCAAGCCTGTAGTACACAATCTTGCGCAGGAACATTTGTTTATATGATTTACCAAAACAATGACAGCTGGTAGAGGAGTGTGCTTGCGGACATGAATCATGGAGAGAATTTCTGGAAGGTGACCCTCACGGGATGCAACGTAGAACATCCTGGTGGGAAGTAAATGCGGACAGACTTTAAATACACTCATTACAAAGAAAAGTCAAAGCAGCTCACTAGAGATGCAGAACACATTCAAAGTTATCCTCAGCAGCTCTACTTATTTTTATTGAAGACATTCAGAGTTTAAAAGATGTCAGAAGCCGATACTCAGAAACCAAAGCAAAAGACTTATAACCATTTCCCATCCCGACATTATCAGTCTTTACAAGAAGTTAATATTAGTGTTTTCCCACATTTACCTTATCCCATAGAAATAAAGCATCAATCCATTAGATATTACATTAAAAGGGATTTTTTTAAAGCAATTCACAGGGTTTTAGCAATGTGATAGTAATGCCAAACATGATAAAAGTCATAAAGACTATTGCAGTCAACCTGTCCTGATATTTAAAGGAATTAAACCTGGTTTCATTTGTCCTCCTTGGTTTTGAGTCATTCCTTAACTAGTTCAAAAAAGAACTAGATAAGTTCATGGAGGACAGGTCCATCAATGCCTATTAGCCAGGATGAGCAGGAATGGTTTCCCTAGCCTCTGTTTGCCAGAAGCTGGGAATGGGCGACGGGATGGATCACTTGATGATTACTTGTTCTGTTCATTCTCTCTGGGGTACCTGGCAATTGGCCACTGTTGGAAGACAGGAAACTGGGCTAGATGGACCTTTGGTCTGACCCAATATGGCCATTCTTATGTTCTTACCCACCTCCCCCACCCACTCCAATAATTCCTGGATCTTCTCACCTGGAAACTGCAAAGATGCCACCATTCATAGAGCCAAAGCAGGAAAGGGCAACAAATATTGGAACGGCTAATGAAAAATTTCCCATTAATCGTTCAGCAAAGGTCTGGTAAAAGAGAGCAACATGAATTAGCAGAAAAAAATAAAAGTTTCTACAAGATCCCATTCTATAACTTTCTGTGACATTGTACTGCACATTTGTCATTTTCTCTTCACTAGTGGGATCCAACTTACTGTGGGCAAGTGTCTCCCACTCATACTCAGTAGGTAGCACTTTATTCAGACAGCAGAGCCTTATTTCAGTGTGGCTACTTATCAGTTAAGGTACTACTTCATGGAAGAGGGGTAGAATCTGCCCCTATATAATTTGTTTTAAATACCATCAGCTGTCGACTATTCATTTACATTCTATGAAAGAGAATCTGTCTAATCCACATTTGTCATACATATACAAACATTCGTAATATTTTGTACAATGATCACCATACTGAGCTTCTGTCATCCTACAGTCTATACACCCAGTCACATCTCACTCTCCTAGGTCATTACCATAAGAGTTTTGTTTCTTATCCTCATGGTTTGAAGGCACACACAGGTGCTGCCCATGATTTTCTGTGGTCCCACAAAATATTCTGCTGCTAGATTTTAAATGTTACAGAATTAGTCACTTGAAAACAGGGTGTTCAGATTCTCCTATTGAAAAAACCCTTAGCTGTATCAATATTGGTATGTGGATTTACATTTGTTTATTGCAAGACAGATGCCACAAAAATAATTGTCACCACCACAGTTTAGCAAAACACTTAAACACGTACTTAACCTTAAGCATGCACTTAAGTCCCAGCAACTCTAAAAAGTCAGCTGAATAAGGATGGGCTAATGATATGCATAAGGTCTAAATTCATCCCTATGCATCAATAAGGAATCCAATAAAAGGCTATGAGACTTAAGCCCATGTTTAAAGTGCTTTGCTAACTTGGAGCCTTATAAGGGTTTTTTTGTGTAGCTTCATTGTAAGTTTCCCAATTTTTTTATTCTTATTTTCAGGGGAAAATGACCAACTTTAACAGCAGCAGATCCACTTTAACTGTAGTCAGATCTATACATTTGTATTTTTCCTCCATAACTTACCACTGCCACGGCCTTTGAATTTAGCAGTTCCTCAGGGCTGATTGTAGTGAAATAAGCCACATTTGTTAACACATAGCCAACTGTGACAATAACCATTGAAATGCATATTGCGAGCGGTATGTTTCTGGAATACACAAAGAAGCTCATTAGTTGCAATCTGCTAGTCATTCCCTGAAAATGAAGCAAAGAAGAACATGAGAAAAAGCCATTTGGTCTTTGTCCTTTGTATCCCTAGATCTATGACTGGCATGAACAGATGAGCAGTTGATGATCTAAAAAATTATGACTAGAAGCTACAGGTAAAAAAAAAAGAAAGAAATTTACATTCCATGTCTCTAATTTGAGTCAGCTATTCAAATAATACATAGTCAGGTATATTCTGCCCCTCAGTCAGGCATATGCAACAGTGCCCTCAAAAAGCTCTACCATGTGCCAACTGACATTCACACTGAGGACTGGAATTTATGGAGATAACTGAAGATTGAGTTTGCCTCAGAAATAGCAACAATAAGCATATAAAACCTTGCTATTTTATCAATATGGGAGGAAGAGGAAGAACAACATGTTAATAAATAATAATAAGAGCTTTGTATTATATGACACTTTTGATCAGAAGCTCTTAAAGGAGCCAGTGTCATTATCCTTTTTTTAAAATAAAGGGAAACCGGGGCGCAGAGGCAAAATGACATGTCCAAAGTCACCCAAGCATGCCAGTGGCTGAGCTGGGAATAGAAACTAGGTCTACTGAATCCCAGCCCAGTGCTCTACTCAGTAAATAACACTGCCTCTCTTAAAATGACCTCCTCTGGTTCAGACCAAGAAGGGATTCAGCTTTGAGAAATAAATAAATCAATTCAAGTTAACAGGAAGCAGCATGGTAGATACAGGATACGCATTGCCTTAAGAAGGGGATGCTCCTGCTTCATGGCTATTCCCTTCAGCTGATTCAGTCAGGAGTAAAGCTAGGTGACAACAGATTTTTAAGTTCACTGGCAATTCTAAAAATCAGGGAAGAATTTGTTTTCAGTTAACCTGAAATGGAATATTTTTTAAATTTTCAACAAATTTAAAAAAAAACTGTTTTGTGTCCAATCAGCATCTTATTGGGCTCAAAACAAAAATTTCAGTTTTGAGCATTTTTGATTATTTTGATTTTTTAAAATTTTGAAACAAAAATTTGTTTTGAACCAAAAACAAAACAAACAAAAAACATTGTTTCAAAAATGGTAAAACAAAACATTTTGATCTAAACACTTTGCTTTTGATGGGATCAAAAGATTGCTACATGTAACAATCTTCTGTATGAAAGACAATGGACACAGTCAACTGTGGGAGGAAAGAGGGAAGAACAGGAGTTCTGGATGATCCAAAGAACCTGCTAGCACACATCCCAGAAGAAATAAAATCAGCTCCCTCAAAGAGCGCCTTTGGGATTCAACACACTGATCCATGATGTGCTGTTTTTTGTCATAACTCTTGCAAACTACACTGTCACTTCTAGATAAGAATTTAATAAGGACCTTCTTTAACACTGTAGGCTGCTGGCCTATATCTTACAAAGGATATAGGCCATGCCCAAAGTCTAGATCAGGTCCTTTTCCTCAGAGCTTAATTTATTATTCAAAACACAAACACACACAAAAATTATTCCCAGTCTTCCTATAAGCCATCCTGGAGTCCCCTACTCCAGTGCCTGCCACAAGAACCCATAGGTTTGCCAATTTTGGTTGGATGTATTCCTGAAGGTTTCATCACATGACATAATCTTTAATTAAAGATTCATCTTTAATTCCTGGAGACTCCAAGACAATCCTGGAGGGTTGATAACCCTAGGAACCAACATTCTTCAAGTGGTGCTGTTCCCTTGGCCCAGGGACTTCCTCCTCCTCCTCCTATCACTACCACCATCACCACCCAGCTCCTGGCAGCTCTCCCACCAGCTGAGCCATTTTCTGGCTCTAATAACTACCTCACTCCCTTCCAGCTAGGTCTGAAAATCCCTTCTACCCGGTCCAAATGCCTGTCCTTAAAGGGGTCTGCCTGAAAACAGGGCTGGCTGGCTGGCTCCAGGCCCCCCGGCCCTTAAAGGGGCAGAGCACCTTGTTGCAGATACCTTTACAGAATTTCAAGTTGAAAGGAGGTTATGGAATGAGAGATGTTAAAAATGAAGTGGTGGTTAGGGTTACCATATGTCCGGTTTTTCCCGGACATGTCCGGTTTTTCGGCAATCAAACCCCCGTCCGGGGGAAATTGCCAAAAAGCCGAACATGTCCGGGAAAAATACCGGCCGGGCACTTCCTCTCCCGTGGCTGCTCTGCTACTCCCCGGACTCAGACTTCGGCTCTGTTTAAGAGCCAAGCTGTCCGAGCCAGCACTACCGGCTTCGGGCAGCCCCCGTGCCTCTGGACCCTGCGCCGCCGGAGCAGAGCAGCTGGAGCCGGGGAG